CAATCATTAATATCACTTATAAATCAAGTTCATTCAAAAATAAAATTGCATTCTCACTCCCATTAACTGTTAATGCATTCCTTGTTCAAGAACCATTAGAACCAAATATCTTTATGCAATATTGGAACACTATTGGTAATGCTACTGAAAAGAAAAGCATTATTCAAATGAAACAAAATAACCCTATTGACTTACCAACTGTTCTTGGTGGAATGAGATTTATTTGTTTGGATGTAAAACCAGAACAAATTGTGGCTTGCTCTTCATTCCCTTCTTTCCAAAATATTTATGTCTTATTGAGAATTGAAATTAATGTTACTTCAAACAAAGCATGCATTTATGTCAGAGCTCAAGACCCTTCTCTTGCCAAAGTGATTCATAATTTATTGTGCTACGAAATTGCTGCTTAAAAAGACATAGAATTGGATTTTTTTTTCATTTCTACACCATTCTTATTATTTTTATTACAAACAAAACAATAACTTGAAAAATTTTTTCTTTTCCATTTTATTTAATCAAAATAAAATCATACTTTCATGATTGTAATATAAATTAAGATGTGTATTATTTAATATATATAATATACTATTAACTACTGTTAGTGGGATATTAAAATAAATTAAACATTGTTTAATTCATTGTTTATTAATACTATCATATGCTTTGGAGATGTCATAATATGTTTCTACCCACTTCCATTTATTATTTATTAATAATTGATTGATTATAGTGTTATATAATAATCATTCATTTGATGAATATGTATATTTCTTACATCTAATTTGATTTAATGATAATTGTTTTTCAATTTGATTTAGCATCAATTGGCTTTCTATTTTCATCTTTAATAATGATGTATATACTTTTAACAGACAATTTAGGCAAGTTATTGGTCTGTAATTCTGTGTGTCTAATTTATCTCCTTTTTTATATATTAATATTGTTCTTCCTTGAATAAAATGAAGAGGTATTTCATTAGGATTGTTCAACCATTCATTAAATAATTTTATTAAATATTTCATTGGTTATTTTAATTATTTAATCAAAAATCATTATATTTTATCAACATCGCGTGCCTTCCAGTTAACAATAAATTTAATATCACAATCCAGTTCATTTGGAGTGATTATACATATTCTATTATTAATTCTACTTTCAATTAATATTTCATATAAATTAGTATTCAGGAAATCTATATTAGTATTAGTTTCATAGATTCATTTCCAGAAATTAATAGTGGAGATATTATCTGGATAATCATCTTATTTAGTTTTATTTAAATATTATCTTTTCCCATATTTCATCATTTTATAATTCAATCTTATTCTTTTCAAATTATTCTTTCTTGCTTCTATTTCTATTGTTTTCATATTTCTGAGGTATTTATAATAGTTTATTTGTTCAATTGTTTTTACTTTAATATGATATATATCATTTTCTTAATATGCAATATTCTTTTTAATTTTATATATTGTTTATTATGGAGTAAAACTCTTATTCTACATACTTTGATTGTAATATTCTTTCTATACTTCTCTTTCCACTTCTTTCTTGTTTATTTTTATTAATGATGTTAATAGTGGAAGCTACAGATTTAATATAATGATAATAATCATCTAATGTATTGATTATTATTTCATTTTTATTAATAATATTAATTATTTGATGTATTTTCTTCTTATTGTAATAATAATTAATAAATTGTACATCTTCTTGTTTTTTCTTTTCTTCTTCTTTAAATATTTTCATTACTTTATCTTCTATTTCTTCTTTCTTGTTCACTTTTGATATTATTTCTTTTAATTCATTATCTTTCTATTGACATTTTATTATTTCTTCCTCCATTATTCTATTGATTTCTCTTTTAATTTCA